ATGAGATGAATACTGTAACCTTTTTAGGTGTCGCAATGGAACAGCACTAATTCTTTTCCTCTTAAAAAAAAAGTTGTTCAAGTCAGTTGACAACAAAAAAGTTAGTCTCTATTCTAGCTAACTGACCTTTAGAGTATTTGTTTGGCTATCAAGCAGTTTTTAATAAGTATGGATCTGGCACTGGTCACATTCTTGCATAATTCCTATTTTCATAATGCATATGATGGAGTTCAAAGACCTATTAAAGAGGAAAAAAAAATCAACAACATACAAAGTAGCTTTTGTCAATAGCTGAACCACAACTTTCCAGTTACTGAGTTTCCTGTGTCCCACCTTAATGCCAGCAAACATCAACACAAAGGAGTCCTTCATTCCACCAGGCTAACAAAGAGCTGGTACCACTCTTTTGAACCTGCTATGCATGTCTGTTCCCTCAAAAGGATTTAATAGCTCAAACTGGTCTTGCCCTACGAAGCCAGTGTCAGAGTATGCATTGCAGGGAGAGTTTGGGAAGTCAGTAACACTGAAAGGGTTAATATTGTAGGTGGTCTAAATAAAGAGGCACTTACTTCACTTTGTAAATAAAAACAATCTCTGAAAGTGGTTGTTCATAAACTTTGTAGGCAAACATTTAAATGCTTATATATCAAGTATATTTATTGATGTATTGATTGCTGTAGAGTCTGTAATATGAAATGTCTCTCATATTAGACCATTGAATTATAGTAATAAGCCATGCAAAAGGCTGTTAGACAGTCCTGAATAGAAAACAATGTCTAATTTGAATAAAACAAATCTTGTTTTAGTAAGGGAGAATGGTCACCTGTCTCCTGAACAGTAGAGAGGAATTTGAGGTATGAAGACTAAAACTCCAAAGACTTTTCAAATGCTATTCCACACAAATTTTAATATTCTGACTGAAAATCCACTGTAAGAACTTTGTAAGCAGTTTTAAATTATTTTTTCTGCTACTATAATAAATAAGTGGCTCATAATTTCTGATTCAGATTTGTCAGAATTCAGTTTCTAGTTGCTTTTGTCTGTTGTGTTTCATCCAGTAGACAATGAAGTTTCTATTAATAAATTTTCTCTCTTCATATTGACAGAGTAATGTCTTAAAATCCTCTGAACATTATGCAACTCTTTTGCTGGGGACATCATTACTAACTATGGCAACAAATTGAAAGATGTGTCCTGTCTGAAGCCATAATAATTAGGCACAGTAAAAGAAAATACCAACCCTCACATAATACAGAAAATAAGCATTTTTTGATGTTTTAGCTCAAAGAACAAATGCTTCAAGTTCTTGGACAAGCTACCTAGGCTGAAGTCAGAGAATCTGAAACTCTGTAAACATGCCCGACCTTATCTATGTCAGTTTGTTGGCATTCTTAAGACTGCTTGCCAAGAAAGGTGTTAAACTAGGCAGCAATTAGGAAACAGCTATCAAGAAATACAGTAGCTGAAGACAAAAGTGTTCATGGAAAAACAGAAAGGATGAAATAATTCAAGAAACTGCAGTCAGAGAAGCAAAGATGGTTTTGGCTTTTAAGATGGTGGAGGTGAGGAATCTGTGGGCTGGCAGGTCAACATTGGACACTGCAAGGTGAGTGGTGTGGCACACAAAAGTTAGTGATGAATAACTGCAGCTGGTGTAAGCTATGATGCCTGAACACTTGCCTAGAAGCTTGGACCATACTGAGTGTAAGGCTCTGGTGAAAAGTTCACTTATTAACTGAAAGAAATGTAGTAGAAAGCAGAACCTGGAAGCGCATTCGTGTGGTTTCAAGAGGTGTGGCTGATTGGCAAGCCTGTCACATACTGGAGGGCTGGCAGCCCTGCAAAGGCAACTGCAGCATGGTGAATCGTGCCAATTTAGTGAGATTCATGGACAACTGTTCCAAGCAGAGGAAAACTAATTTCTCAGTGGAAACCCAAAGGATGATTAATGTGAGGCTTTTCAAGCATTACTAGTAATGTGTATAAGATAAAAACATTATGCTTCTTCACCATCTGGGGCAATGCCTCAGAAGAACTTTCTGCAGCATAAGGACAACATGCAGCGCAGCAAAATTACAGCTTTCCTGTCCCTTTATCCAAGTACCAGGCTCCAGACACAGGGGCCCTCTAGAAGGGGGCATCATATCTTCAAAGTTACCCTAAAGGAAGGAGACTCGATGAAAGGGAATTCCAAACATAATGTATTCCAGCAACATCAAAGAGACTAGAGCTGCACTAAGCATCAGAAGCTTTGCATGGTCCTCCCAAAGCACAGGCAGTGAAACTGGCTCACTGACAGAGGGAAAGAGAAGGTGCAAGAGGGTGTGTTTAAAAAAATTAAAATCTGCAATGCTAACAGATTGCACTAGTGTAGTAAAGTAGTATACTACTACTATGTACTAAAGTAGTATGCTACTATAGCAAGATAGCATACTTTAAAGAATGACAAAAGTACTAAAGCACAAAACGCATGCAATTTATTACATATATATATACACACAGATCATTCTAGCGATAATTTTTTTACATAAAAAAGGAAAAAATACTGCTATGTCATATAGTTTGGACTCCTACCAGTAATAAAACATCCTCACATGTTCTTTGCAAAGGAATGGCAATTAGAGATTGGATTGATTTTTGTTTGCTTACAAGAATTTGTAATCACCAGCTACAATTACAGGTCTCAACACCTTAAAGCTTTTTAAACAAAGACTATAATGACCTTGTTTAGACCTTAGGAATGTGCCTTGCATTATCTACATGATAGAGTATTCAGTCTCCATACTTTTTTTCATGCAACTATGCAGTAACACCAAAACAAGCCTGCCCACATACTCCCCAGACACCAACAGGCAGCTATGAGTAAATAAATGGTGACAGAGATCCTAATTTAACCTACCAGTTTGTACCTCCCAAGGATATAATCAAAAAATAACTTAACATAAATAATCAACACTAAGATTACAATTAACACCTGTTAAGTTTTTAAGGCAATATAAGGAAATGTCAGTCCTACTACTCTGAAGAGTCCTATGCTTATCAGGGACCAAGATAAAAGAGCATCTCTGTGCTTATGGAAGTGCTGCAGATGCAGAAGCTTACCCATCAGTCTCTTCTTGAAACCCATAGCAGTTAACTGCAGTTTAAACTACAGCACTGTATTATGAAGCAAGCATCCATATGGAAAAAATATTGTCTGGAACACACAGAGAGGAAAATACTAAGAGGCTAAAAGCATTCTTGATGACATATTTCAAGTTTCCTCATGTTATTTAGTTAGGAAAATGTCTGTAATTTATGCTTTTATTGTAATTTATGCTATTAATAATGCTTTGGTGAGACCAAAGCAAAGTGGCAACAGTGGAGATATGCCTCTCACTCCAAAAGACGATATACATGTATAACCATTCACAGTTTCATTCTTTGCTCCCGAAGCTGCTTAGTGGTATTTCTGTTTCTCTCTTCCAGTAAACTTGCAAGGGGTTTTCTGAATAAAGAACACTCTTACCATTTATTGCAAATTAACAGTCTTTTAAAAAGCTGTCTGAAAGATCCTTTCCTGCCTCCTGAGCACACATTAGCTTTCAGCATTTCTTCAGAAAGAAATGTTGAATGCCTTTTTTCTCCCGTGTTTTTATATCTCATTTTGGTGAAGATAGGAACATGTCCTCAGTGTAAAATAACTCAGCCAACTACAAGCCTTCAAAGCAGTCTCCAGAAAGTAGAAAAGGGTCTTTCCTCCTCCCTGCTAAATCCCTGCCTACCCAGAGGTAACCATCTCTAATTTTTAAGTCTTCCCTAAATTTAATTTTCCCGAAGAGAGTATCAAGCTAAGATAGTCTCATTACTGAATCATTTCGATTACCCTCCTGTGCATTATATTCCTTTCTGTTGTTTGTTTGTTCATGTACAAAGCTGAATGAAACCATATTAATTACTAATTGTGCCAGACGATTCATGGGGGGCTATAACAGGCATCTTGACAATTAGAGAAGGTTCCACCCCCCTTCCAACAACATCACTCCATTGATTTTGTCCAACCAATGCCTAATGTCATGGCTCACCATACTTCACTCATCTGCTTTTTTACCACATCCTTCTCTTTTTCTACCCTGTACTATTTAACTTCTCTTATTCTGCCAAAAATTTGCATACTGGTCTTGTGCAGGCTAACACTAACAAGGTCTTGCCGCTGTTGGATGTAATTACAAGTGTAATTATGACCCTAGATGGGGAACAGGGTTCATGAGTCATGTGTGGAGCTAGGTTTGTAGAGGCCATATACAAAACCCAGTCCTTACTTTGGTAGCAGAACTTGTCTAAGCTTAATATATCAGCATTAGTAAAAAATGTACGAAAAGACATGCCTCTGCAGGCGTTCTGCTGAAGTAATTTCCAACAAATTGTCAACTGTGTTAGGGCAAGGACTAAAGACACAGGAAGCTGACTGTGACATCGTCTTGCTTAATGCTTACCTTGCCATAGAAAATTAACTGACAGAAACTTGTATTAATAGAGGCTGTTCTTCTCTGAGCAAAGACGTATGTTGAAAAGTCTTTCCCTCTGAAAGCAAATACCTTGGAGGATAAGTGTATAAAAACAAACAAGCAAAATGCCTTTCATGAAATGGGATTATTCAGTTTGTATCTTACTAATGTGGATAGCATTCAGCCTCAAGTTTGCTCAATGCAAGTCTCAAGAGAGATGCTATTTTGTGGTAAGCCTTTAGAACTCTATAAGTAGGCATACTTTTATCCAGTCATTGAGACAACCCATCTGTATCAGTAGCAGTAGCCATTATTTTTTTCTGCTATGCCCCATGACATCCTGCAGCATCATTATCAAGATACCTGACCCCACAAGCCGTAGGGTGATTTCTTTATCCACAGCGGATGGCAACAGACAATATTCTTCTCCGCTTTATAAATAAAAATGTAAATTAAGCATGACAGAAATTCTTCAAGTAACACACCACAGATAATGCAAAAGAGATCCACATGTCATTTTCTTATCCATTTATTGTCCACAGAGGGCTAGAAAATTAAAGTCCTTATGATTTCCCTGTCCTCTTGGGGTGACATATCCCTACCCTCTCAGGCCAAAGTGGCTCTGTCTCTGGCTTGAAAAATTCTTGAATGATGAATCAAACTGAAGGTTAGAACAATGTCTCTCCTGTCTCTTTGGCTTTTTAATGTTGCCTGTTTCAACAGAGGTGATATTCGATATTTATCCATTTTTTTATTATTATTTTTTATTTTATTCTTGTTTCTTGCCTGGGTATCCATCTTACAATGATCCTATGTCAAGTTGCTTCCCCACTAATTACCTTGAAAAAATGCGTTTCGTACATGAACTTTTTTTCATAGTTAAATACTGGAGATCGGAAAAGAAATCAGTATATGTAATTTCTTTCCAAATATAAGGTTACCACTCAGCATAACACTATTCAACAGAAGCCAGAATTTTTCATTCTTTATCTTGTAACTCATGCAAGATTGTAATTGCTTTTCTTTAAATATATATTTACACTTCAGTTTTACTAACCTGTATGACACTTAACTATGCAAGTTAGCTCATTTAATCTATATTTTATACAATACTTTGTTAAACCTGTATTTGGATTCATGAGCTCTTCAGGTATTCTCCCAAACATGTATTCAACACACCTGTGTATGAGGACACAGGCATAGCTATGAATTAAGCTGGCAATAACAGTCCCAAGAAAGGTCATGAGAGTTAGGACTTCTGAGTAGGCCAGAGACCAGAGCACATCACCATGGCTTCAGGCAGGTTTGCAAGCTGCACTGAAAGCTGTTTCTTCACTATTAGCATCCATGTTACCACATCAAATTACATTCATCATGTTATAAAAAGCTGCAGTCTTACCTACGTTTGGCTTCACAAACTTTAGGAAAAAATAGCATGATCCAGTTGGGATTAATTCTTTATGTAGCTGAATTTGCGTATAACAACTCCCATCTTAAATAATAATAATAATAATAATAATAAAATAAGCTGGCCAAGCTTTCTGTATCACTCTTACAAATTTAAAATTCATTTTCAGGTTTTCATGGTTTGAGGCAATAACTGCATTCATTAATACAAACCTGAACATTTATTGACAAAATGAGGTGAGAAGTACAAAGAAGACTGCAATACTTGGTATAAGGGAATTTTTCTTGATATTTAAAGCTTGACTTCCAACCAAATCTCAAGGCAGAAAAACATATTTCATACCAATATTACAGAATTGATGTTACACCTGAGTTTCATTAAAATCTAGATTTAAATGTCTAAACAAAGATGTTTTCTTAATGCTGCAGTGTTTTTCAAAATAAATAAATAGATTATGTAAAATAAACTTCCTAAATAGTTTATAAATTGTGAAGAAATTATTTTCCTAAGTTCATTCTTGCCTTTACTCGTATATTTTGCATTGAAGACTTTAAAACTTCTCTTGCTTTGATTCTATTTCCTGACACAATGAAAATCTACCAGAAAAATAATTGGTGGTTTCAGATACCTGTGAAATGAACAAATAGGCTGTCTTGAACATATCCTTAATTATATCTTATCAGTCAATATTTTGCAGATATTTTGAGCATGTACATATACAATACCGATCATATATATAGAAAAACTTGGCAAATCATGTAGTAAAGCAAGGTGCCAGGTTCAAAGCTTCACTCTTTTTTTCTTTTATTATGTTAAGAAAACAGACACTATCGTGGTACAAACATTATTATTCTACACACAGATGAATCTACGCATCATCACAGAATAGCAGATGAACCTGGCTACAGATGAACAGAAAAACAACAGCTGTTCTGACTGAAAAGAAGTCATGAGAGGAAGTGAAGCAATTAAAATTTGAGTCTTTTTGACTCTTAAGCAATGAAAAGGAAAAAAAAAAACTTAGTAGTCTGTCTTGTAATGAGCTTGAGTTAAAGAAACTCAGGTGGCTATTTCCCAGATGAGCCTATTAAAACACTTCACAGGTAAGCACATAGCCTAGGGAATTCAAATCTGATTTGTCTAGTTCACTCCATACTCTTAGGTTGGTTGTTTGGTTGTTGGGTTTTTTTTTTATTTATTTATTTAAAGAAAAAAAGAAATCCAAGCCTTTATGAATTTTGAAGTGCACACTAGTTAAATATCATAGCACATGCTGTTCTCCCAGGCTGAGGTGTCTGATATCTAGTGCCCCACATTCAGGAGCATGTGGTACAGCTTCTCCATACAGATTTACACATTTACTCTTGCATTTTTTTCAAGTTATGTAAATCACTCCTCACCCCTAGCAAGGGAAAAAAAAAAGAAAGCATTACCAGAATTTTTGTTTTGCTTTTGTTTTAAATATTTATGTTGCTAATTTGCCTTATAAACCACTATCCTCAGTTTGAAAGGACAGAAATTGCCTGTTTGTTCCTGTTTAATTCAGATGTGTGGAATTCCAGGAGTAACACATCCTGGGTAAAAGCACTTAGATCTTTTAAAGACTCATGAGGTTTGTAGACAGCATCCTAGAAGAACCTGAGCATTGCTGTGTACTTCCATTTGCCCAAATTATTTCTTTGATGAAAGCTTATGCATCCTTACAGATGTAGATGTCTGAAGAGGTTTTAGCTGAGGCTTACATACCTGTGTGAAGCTTTGAAAAGCAGGTTTCTCTGCCAAAACCAGACCAGGCATTCCTGTGCTGTATTCTCAAACGCAAGTGTGGTACAGAGCACAGTGTAAACATCTCAGTGATTTTGCGCTTCAGTAGTCTATGTTCTGTTGGGTTAATAGGTTTTGGCACACCTGGACCCAAGCTGATTTAATTCAGAGTACCGGTCTCTGCACCTACTTTTGTTTCTCAGTGTTTAAGAAAGGCTTCCTATTTTGGATCAAAGAGTTGCTTACATCCCTGGGTTTTCTATATAACAAAAAGTGGCTGGCAAAAGCCAGTGTGCAGAGGACAAAATATGCTTTCAAATAAGAGATTAAGACAGAGGCAAGAATTCAAGAGATGGTGTGCATGACATAGTGACAGTTACTTGTGCAACATTCACAATATCTTTCCATTAAGTTAAGGCCTAAATACATAAGCACATACTATCAGAATCCATAGGATGCCCAAATCATACAACATTGTTTTCATTTCCATGGTATGAGTGGACAGGAACAAGAACAATAACATACACCGTGGCTGATTAACATTAAATGGGGTTCTTCATCTTCAGACCTTGGCTTTCTTATTCTCCGACTAACAAACATTAAGTGTCCTCAATAACCTGCTCAAAAAAGAACACACTACAGCATTCTGGTCACAGCACACTAATACGAGCTTCCATTTCAGGAAAAGCTTCCATTTTAACAAAGTTATTTTATAAACATGTTCTTGAAATAGAGATAAAATAATGCTCTCTGGCTGGCAGTTTCTTGGAGGGTTTGTAACCATCTATTGCAAAAGAGAAAGAAAAATGTAATAGCTGCTATTGCACCAAGCTGATCTCACCTCCTTGAAGGCAAATTAAAGAAAAAAAGGAAAAACAAGAAAGCATTAAAAAGCAGTCTCTATTCCTGAGGCTGATTTTGACTTGCAGCCTTGCTGCTGAAGAGACACTGAATGTATTTTTATTAGCTATTCCAGAAACTCAGAATATTGTTCTCTTCTCAGTGTTTTTTATGTTTAAAAACAACTCCAGAGCATTAGTAGCCCTATTTCACAGATTAAAAAAATAGTACAGTAACAATGAGGGAATAAAACATCTTTGTGACATTCAGAAGACAACCAGGATGTATGAAAAAGGCAACGTGTTTTCTCAGTTTCCAATGTCATGCTCTAGTCATTAAAGCAAGTTCCATTGCAGAAGACTCAGCTGCAGCTTTGACAAGCCTGTTATTGCATATTCACTTCTGCTGCCTAACTGGATAAAACTACTTTGGACCTCTCTCAAGTTCCACAGACAATTGTGTTCAAGCTAGGCAGAGCAATTTTATCAGCTGTTGTTGACTTTGCCAGTTGAAACTGAACTTATAAATCACGTAGTCAGACAATTTAAGACAAGATTGCCAATTTAAGACAAGATTGCCACTACTACTGATGAGGACTAAAATGTGAATTGTCAACGCTACATGCAATTAGAGTGTTATGCTTATTAATACCAAAGAAACTACCAATGCGTATTCTAGTATTGTGATAAAAAATAGGAATGGTATTTTACAGGGTGAACAAAACCTTTATGCTTCAGAACTGGTCCTAGGGGTTGAACCCCTCCTTTTCATCCTATCTTTCCCCTAACTTTGTTTTTTAAGCATCAAAAATGAAAACAAGATTTTTTTATGGAAAGGAAAGAAAACCTTTTATTCTTATGCACTGTTAGAAAGAAGTGACAATATCTGCCTATTCTTCCCACCTCCTTCCCCAACTTTTCTTCACATCTGCTTACACCATTAATGTTATTCAGAAATATCACTTGAAGACTTCATCATGAAGCATGCAAAATTCAAACAACAGTTCCATGTGCAGCTCAGTGAAACAATATTAAGAGGGAACACAACCAACTCTGAAAATACAATTATATTATTTAGTCAAATCAGTAAGAAGGTATATTAGTACACTAACAAGGCTAACATTTGAGAGGTAACAATTTTACAAAATGATAGAGCCCTAGTATGTAAAGACAATTTACAATGAGGTATTTAAGAAACCATATCTAGCTACAACACAGTAACATCACTCAATTCTAATTAGCAGGAATATATTTCATAAAATTCCAAAGGCTTTTATCATACCTTTACTTATGCTCCTTTTCTGTGATTATATGCCTTGAAAAATGTCACAAGGCTGACCTCTGCTGGGTCATAAATTACCATGCATCTAGAAGGATACACAATACATTAAACTATACAGTTATCAAGGAGAAAAGAAATTTTTCATAGGATCCCCAAACAGTTTGCATAGATTCCAACATGAAAAAGACATTCTTCACACAGTTTCTTGAAACAAGAAAGCTAATATTTTGCAAGCCATTGTATCAGACAAGAGACTAGCAAACCCACTACTCATTCTCTCACCACTATTTGAACACAAAATCATCTACAGAGAGGACTGCATATCATGAGATCAAATTTAAAAGCTAGCACTGCACATCAGCTTTGAAATAACATAGCAAATCTTAGTCATGCACAAGGCCAGATCCTCATGCAGATAAGTACTTAAGCAAGGAAACAAAAGAAATATCTGCAAACATGTAAATGCATTAAATTATGCCTTTTATTCACCGTCAGAATCAGTCTAGAAGTGCCAAGGTCAGTCCATCCTCTCTTCAGCAGGCAAGCTCAGGAAACACTGCCAGAAGCTTCTCTTATATTGCTAAAGTTTCAGGGAACCTTGCAGTTATTTCAAACCACAATTATAGAAACAGTGTAAAAAAAAAATCGTAAGAAGAGTTAGCTATAGACAGATATAGGCTAGTGTTAAGACAAAAGACACTTCAGGTTGCTTTGGATGTTCGAGAGTTGTCTTCCCTAAACATGATTTGATCAGTTCAGCACCATATAAATACCAGGCTGAAAAATAGAAGATTAAGACATACATTTTAGAATGCCTACTTAGATCACAGAGCAACAATGAGTGTATTACTGGAACTCATACCAGCCACCAGACCACATTTCTATGTATCTTATCCTCTCTCATTCCCAGTGAAAGCAACTGCAGTACAGAGACATACCTCACTCTCCCTAACCAGAGTGCTGTGCAGAGCAGAGCTGATTTTCAATATCCCCATAAGCAGCCGTGCCCCAACAACACAAAAGGTGATGCCTCTTTGCCTATATTCGCTGAGGTTTGGCTGAAAACCAAAAGTTAAAAGTACTGTTTTCTTTAGTTGCCTTAAATAAAATTTTAAAAAATAAATCAAGAGAGTTAACTGTTTTACATCATTTCCTGAACTCGGTGAAGCTGATGACTTTGAACAGATGGGGGACTCCTGTAAAAATCCTTAGCACACAAGGACTGATGAGCCCTGAGATTTTGTCTGGTCTCCCATATATTAAGTCATAATGCTTCTCCTTTGCTCACCATGCCCTCAGCTCAGTGGTTGCAGTAAACATACACCAAAAAGAATACCTCTGAGAAACCAAGCAAAAGTTAAAATCACCACATTCAATCATTCAGTACCCTCAATGTCAAAGTAAACCCACAACCCCACCTCCCTATTTAAACATAGCTAGCTCCATTTTCCAACCACTGAGTATTGTTCCCTTCTCAACTCATGTCTTCATTCCTTACCAATATATGTACTTCTTTACGTGAATGTACTTCCACGAGCTAATCAAGTGACCTCTTGTTCCTGTTTCTCATGAATGGAAAAAACTGAAATAACGTAAATCCTCACTTTAAGGAAAGTTATTTTGAATTCTCATCTTGCATCATATACAGTTTTTCAAAAGCCTGCAAAAACTGCAATGTTTCAATGTCAGTCACCCAGTACTGAGCACGGAGGTCACACGAGAGATGACTCAGCTGATCTTATGTAACATCCTCCAATTTAGACCTCCAAGAATTACATTAGCCTTTTGCCTCAGTATAATGTTGGAAAGTCTTGTGCACTGGGGGATTAAACCCTTACACAGAGGTAGTTCTCCAGAACACAATCTCTACTGAACATTTTTCTTTTTTTTTTTTAAATGTCCTACATTTCCTCCTTTTAGATAATTTTGATATGACCATGCTTGAATTAATTTTTAACCTGCACTGTTCCATACTAATGCCCCTATTATTACTGCACATTCTAAAAACACCGATGAGATTACCTACAGCAGCAACAGCTTTTTTAATATATATTTTCATACCCTGTTTCCTGTCCAGTGAAAACACTGACAGAAGAACCTAGTACTGATTTCCTGCAAAAATCATTAAGAGCATCTCCATTAGTAACTATACCCTTGTACTTGTATTTATGCAGTTCTTAATCACTTAAACTATTACTGGCTCATGTCAGTATTTTATCAGATGCTACTTAGTGGCATGCCATAAAAAGCCTAATGTGCCCAAAATTTTCAGCCGTATCTGTGGCTCCATAACTACTTATGAGGAATCCATAATAAAACAAAAACTAGGTCTCTTATCAGTTTACCTAAATCTGACATACTGCTATCTTACCCCCACTGCAAAATTTTTCTGAATTAAAAGCTGAAACACACTTTAACGAACCTGCAGACCACAACCCTAATAAAACCAAATTCACCATCCAAGACAGTGTACTTTCCATCAAGAATTAAAAACAACATATTGACTAAACATTGTATTACTCAGCATTAGATTTTTGCCACTGAAATTCTTTATCAGTTTTTTCATTCTTTTACCCAGATTTGCTATCAGATGCAATCCCATGTTCTCTTGAATAACGAAGTGTATTTGGTACTCTTCTAGTCTCCTGCCAGAATGAGCAAGAAATTTCTCTATGCAGCCTTGGCTATCCAAAGTTCCACCCAAAAATCAATGAACTTGAAAATGACAGCCCCTAAAAATATTGTTTAAAAATCCTGCCTCTTTTAATTTCTTCTAGAAAGGACTTCACATCCATGTATCAGCTTCCTCTCTTCTAAAGAGATGTAAGCATATCTTTTATGTTACATAGTTATGTCAGTAAAATCACATGAGAGTCAGGCACCCAAACAGAAACTCATGAATGGGACCTAAATTCACCTGTTTATAATTAAACTTGTCAACTCCTTTTACAGACAGCAGAATGCAACACCCATTTCTCAAGTATGACTCACATCAAAAGGTAAGATAAATCCAGCCTACCTGGACTTGTGCAAAGCATTTGACACCATCCCCCATGATATCCCTGTCTCTAGATTGGAGATAAATGGGTTTAATGGATAGACCACTCAGTGGGTAAGGAATTGGCTGGATAGGCACACTAAGAACTGCAGTCAATGGCTCAGTGTCCAGGTGGAGATCAGTAACGAGTGGTGTTCCCCAGGGAGTCAGTATCAGGGCTGGCACTATACAACATCTTTGCCAGTAACACGGACTGTGGGATCAAGTGCACCCTCACCAAGTTTGCCGATGACACCAAGCTGTCAAAAACACTGGAGGGAAAGGATGCCTGGGCAGGCTTGAGAGGTGGGCCCATGTGAAGCTCATGATATTCAACAAGGCCAAGTAGATAGCGGATCTGGGTCTGGGCAATCCCAAGCACAAATACAGGCTGGGTGGAGAAGGGATTTAGAGCAGTCCTGAGGAGAAGGACCCAGGAGTCTTGGTTGACGAGAAGTTTAACATGAGCTAGCAATGTGCACTTGCAGCCCATAAAGCCAACGGTACCCTGGGATGTATCAAAAGAAGCATGGCCAGCAGGTGGAAGGAGGGAGGTGATTTTGCAGCTCTGCTTTGCTCTCAAGAGACAATACCTGGAGTTCTGCATTCAGCTGTGGTGCCCCAACAAAACAAGGACCTGGACTCATTGGAGTGAGTCCACATAGATGGCCATGAAGATGATCAGTGGACAGGAGCACCTCTCCTGTGAAGACAGGTTGAAGGAGTTGGGGTGGTTCAGCCTGGAGAAGAAAAGGCTCTCCAGGGAAACATTACAGCAGCCATCCAGTACCTACAGGAAAGGTACTAATAAAAGGGGGGCTACAGGAAAGCTGGGGAGGGACTCTTTGTCAGTGAGTGGAGTGACAGGACAAGGGGGAATGGCTTTAAACTAACAGAGGGTTGTCTTAGATTAGATATAAGAAAGAGATTCTTTACCATGAAGATGGTGAGGCCTTGGGACAGGTTGTCCAAAGCTGTAGATGCTGCATCCCTAGAAGTCTTCCAGGCCAGGCTGGATGGGGCTTTGAGCAACCTGGTCTGGTGGGATGTATCCCTGCCCATAGCAGGGGAGGTTGGAACTGGGTGGTCTTTGAGGTCCCTTCCAGACCAATCTGTTCTGTGATTAGCAGCTAACAATGGAAGCTAATACTCCAAGAGTGACTAACATCAGAGGATCAGAGCAGAAACAGAGACATGCAAAGCAGAAGATTTTTCAGATGATTTATAGTTACCTTTGGAGCTGTAGTGAGCTGTGTTTGTCAAAGGAAAGAAGCAATGTAGCAAACATCAACAAACAGGAACGTTGAGCAAAGTCCCAGCTCCCCTCCCAAGAAAGGAAGATCAATACTTTATCTCTTTTAGGAAATGGTTGAGCAGAGCTTTCACAGCTGTAGAAAGTAATAGGTTAGCAAAAAAGTTATGGTCAAGGTGATGCTGGAGGAAAAGGGATTGCTCTGCTGGGGCAAAACTTAGCATAGAAAAAAGATAGACACAAAAGCAAACCAAAATAAAATATAAAATAAAATAAAATCTTTAAACCCAAGATTTTGGTTCTTGTCCAAAAATCCTAACAGTAACTTGACACCTAATTTCCTTACAGTTTAAGCTTTAGTACTAAGGAGTTAAACAGCATTGTGCAAATCTAATGACAAATTAGCTCCTCTTTACATATGAACTTAAAATTAGATATTTAAGATAATGCTCTTAGATGACAAACATGAATTTATCATCCTTAAATAGGAAAAAAAAAGCGACTAAACCAATAACATTTACCTTTGAGTCTTCCTCCTGCTATGTTTGAAAAGGGTGCCTACTAAGACTTCATTTAGTGAGCCTCTTCAGTAAACAGCCACTGAGATAAGCAAAAGAATGTCTGGCCTCACAGTGCAAGGGAAATAAACCTAATAGATCCCAGGTTGTTCAGTATTGGCAACATCAAGACACTGAAGGTTTTAATACAGCAGTAAAAGTTAAATTCCTGAGAACGTTAATATGAAACTGAAGTTTCTATTGACTATGGTTTAGGGATATGAAGTGTTGCGTTTTTTTTCTTAGACAGTGAATCAAGGTCAGGCTTCTCTCAGCTAGCTTTCAAGAAGCCTCCTACACAAGTGCAGTTGACCCACAGAAAATGTCATATCTTCAACTTCTAACAGTGGAGACTAATGAGTGAACTCTAATTGCTGTTTAGAACAGGTTAAGGAAGGCTATATGAATAGTAGGAGTGGAACAGTGGGGAAACAATTCAATGTGACACTAGAAGGCTTATCAGCAAGCAGTGAGATTACTTCCAACAAATAAGATAGAATCCTACCCCTCCTTTGCAGAGAAGAACAAATGTCAGATGACTTAGGGTTAGCTTCCTCTTTTTTAAGCAAGACACTTTCCTAATAGCTGTTCTTATGCTTCGTGCGTTACTGTTGTAACCAAATGATTATACAAGTAGTCTAGTCAAAGATAACTGCACATAATCATATACAGCACACTATCACAAATTTGAGGTTATGTCACCTTCAGAGACCTAGAACAAAAGGTAAGAAGTGGCCTCAGTCTAATTTTAATATTAATATTTTCTTAATATCAAACAAGAACAAAGTTCTTTTGTATCACTCTTGTTTAAATAATGATTACTGATATGAAGTCCAAGTATGAAGACAGATCATGGAAAAACACACTGTTCATCAAAAGCACTATACCTGAGAAACATTGCAGTCTGCTAAGTCAGCAACCTCACAATATACATCTTAAAGCTTATTGACTGATTAGGGGGTTAGCAAAGTGAAAATGCTCACTGTTTCATTCCACGATAACCACCTTGCTGCTTATTAGAATTTCAGACATAGTTTTTGAGATGTCAGATATCTTCTCTACTGCATAAACTTTGTGACATGCAGTAAGGTATGATATATTGTTCTTTAGAACTCTTATGGATAACCTGAAACTATCACTAAGTAAATACCTGAAAACATTAATGCTTTAATTGCTCAGAGGTGCTGTCACAATCAAGGTATACACAGTACAATAGGTTTCATAATGTAAAACAAATGAAATCATTAAACATAAGAAATGTAAGGCTTCAGATTTTTCTCTGAAAATGTGTTCTATTGGACCGGCATCAAATTTTTGTCCAGCAATATTTAGTAAGAGTTATGGAAAAGAGTTAAAAGACTGGGTTGATTAACAGACTAGGTCTGCAATAGTGAAATCCATGGAACTTCAACAGGAGTTGGGTCAAGCTATAATGCATCATAAGAATTAAAATTGAGTCTTTACAGTTTTCTGAAATAAACCTTACATATTAAGAACACTAGGCTAGCGTACACATTATCAAAAAATCCAGTGTTTCATACTTATTCACTTCTGTACATAATATGAATTTCTCAAGCTACTCGTGAATAAAGGCCAACTAGTTTACATAAGAGATTCATCTTCAGAAAAAAATGCTGCTCACTAACAACAATATTACACAAATACATTTAGACCTTGAAATAGACTACTGAAAGTGTACCTTATCACCCATGTAAGTTAATCATCGAGTTTTTAAAAAAATACAAAACATTTTAAAAGTGTTTTACAAAAATACTGATATTGGTTCACATTTATAACTCCTCAATACTTTCCTCTTCTTTTGACCTTTTTTTTTTTTTTAATACAGTCTCAACAATATCCCCAATACTCTTTTTTTTTAGTGAGTTAATTACATGTTGCTTAGGCTCCTTTTGCATAAGATTGACTGATATGTTCTGACTCAGTTCGATGATGTATTACAAACCGTTCACATCCGAAAGCTTCTGGTTCTGTGAAATGGTTGAAAAGGCTTTTTTAAGGCCCACATCAAAATTGGTGGTTTCTGTTTAGATTTTTCAGGAAATAGTACTGCTTCAGTTTCAGGGGTAGGAAATCGTTCTTTATACACTTCAGGGTAAGATTTCTGAAACTAGAAAAACACATTAATTTAAAATGAAAAATTCACTAACACTTGGCTTATTAAACAATGTCACCTCCATTTACAGAGCAAGAAAATTCCTCTATCAGACTCTCTATACAGAAAATTAACTGATATTTTCCAATATGGCTTGATTCATTACAGTACCTCTATTAAAAACAATTAAACAGCAGTTTAATTGCCCAAATATCTATTATTTTCAACCTCTATATTTGCCTTCAATACTTTACACCTAAGTCCTCATAAAGAAGTTTTAAAAAGTCAGTAAAGACTGAGGAAGAATTATTTACTTGTTTGAGCTTCTTCTTCTTGTCTTTCACAGATATTTCTTTGTTCATTGCTATTTCTTCCAATAAAGCTGCCAGTGGTTCTTGAGAGCCAGTAGCCCTTTGGTATTCAAACTCATCTGTGCTGATTTGGTGACAAAAAGATGGAGCAGGAAAAGTTGCATCAGTGTCAGCCCCAGTATATTTTATCTGTAAAAAGAGGAAAAAGAGCTGTTCTCTGCAAATTTGCAAAAACCGGCCTAATCAAGTTGTCCATCATTTATGGATTAATAAAGTCATTTTGGTCATTAAAGTCATTAAATGTTATTCACAGACATTAAATGGAAAAGGACAAGACACAACAAATTCTACTTATCTCCTGCACTACTTGAGCGAGTGCTAGCAAGTCAAAAAAAATAACAACATACAACGGAAGTCCATGTAACTCTGAAAAAGTCACAAATGACTTACTATTTCAGTAAAAAAAAATGGCTGAACTAGAAAGCAGATTTAAACAAAACAAAATATGGCACCAGGAAAAAGAAATAAAGTTATAAAAAAGTTGAGCAAGTATGGATGGCTCTACAAGATTGGGATTCCATTCCTGGAGAAGATGATGCAGACCAAGAAGACCAAGATAGCAACATATTTAAGAGTTTTTGTCTTTTAGTCATTGCGTCATTCAGGATCAGCATAGTTTCATTTAAACATGTTGTTATGATTGAGTATCAGCATTCTGAATTAATTAGCTCTTCAAATGCTAGCAGAGACAGAACAAAGTGTTAGATCTGTCTTGTTGATATATAAGATCAACTGAAGACCAGAAAGCATAAGCACAGAGACAAGATTTTTTTTCTACTTGACACCTACTTGGACTCTTTGGACATGTACAACATGTTCCTCTATAGATGATTTCAAGGAAGAAGGAACACTTAAGATCTCCTGATAATTGTCCATGAGAAAAGATACTAGTTTAGCAGCAAGCAGTTCATCCAAGTCCATTTCATCTTTAGAGCAAAGAATGCAACGGGAAAATGCCTGAACCATCTGGAAAAAAACATCATTATTGTATATTTTTCTGTTTACGGAGAAAAATAAGTTGTCTTAAAAAAGAGATATTAAAAAAAAAATTAAAAGCACTATGCTTACCATACTTTTAATGCATCAGTTAAAAAAGTGCATTATGTATTGAGACGCTGTGTGGACTGAAAATGGCTCTTGCCCCATAAACATAATCTAACTCTTGATTTTTGGCATAAAATGGCTGAATTCCATTTTATTCTCAAGACTTCATCAAATAGGCATTCCACACTGCTTTTCCATTTAGACAGAGCAAATATATTTGCAAGATTTTAACACAGCAATTGAACAAAAGTTGCACACCATAAGGAAAACCTGATGCCATTATTTTCAAATCCAAACTTCATATCCAGCTTAGTACATGTAATCTCATACCAAAGTGTTCAGTTACAAGTCTTCTGGCTATGCACCAGTCACTTGACCTTTTAAGCACTGCCAGCACACAAGTTGTTCTGTATTGTGTCATAGATTACACCACTAAATTAAAACTTAATACAAAGTACTTGTAAAGGATTGTAAAGGATTCACTTCTAAAAATAACATTTAGATTATAATGTAATTATTTTAATCAAGTACAATTTAAAGTTAATTAAATTATAACTTTAGCAGTCAATAATTTAATTATTTTAATCAAATACCATTCATTATTAAACTCTTAATTGCTATGAAGCAAATTTGGATTTCTGAATGCTACTATAGGATTTTTATGGACTGGCTCTCCAGCCAAGTTTTCTGTTGTCCTACTCCATGCAGAAGACTTGAAAGTTAGCAAAAAGACTAGAAAAATTATTCATCAAATAAGCAAGCTGTCCTTTGTACATACTCTCTAGTAAGAATATTTTATCTGTTCTATTTCAAAAGCCTTTTCCAACTTTCTGCCTTCCACTATACTTACCAAGGTTCTGGTCCTCACTGATTCAGAAAGAGGTGGCAAATCTTGGTTAAAGCTAATTCTTGCCATCATCCTCACCAACAGCTGTAGTTTCCTCCGATTTTCCGGTGGCAGCAGGAGACAAGATATTTGGAGAGCTTCTACAGCCTTGCTGTGTTTTTGCAACAGACCTGGTTTATTCAAGATCAGGAAATATGGAAACATTTCTCAATTACGATTTTCCTTAAAATTTAATACAGCACTTTCAAATCCATCTCTAAATTCCTTCCCCACATACTCACAACTCCATTCCCCAAATAGTCTAGAAATATATTCCTAGAACTGGACTCACTTCACACTACTCACTTTAAGTATTTACAAGACTACATTCCGATACATTAGAAAATATTAATTATCATAACCCAAAGCTGCAGATACTAGCAAATATGAGCTACAATGTTTTAGTTCATCCTTTGCTTATTTATGACACTGAGATCTGAATATGGCTGAGATGTATGCACAGATGTAGCAACTGTATAAAAATAGTTGTCTGGTGCAACAACCTGCAAACCCAAACAAAACATGTTTTCATACTTCATTAACAACAATGATGATACTGGCATGTCCCTCAGACCTGTATAAGTTGAATTTGTGTTCTAATTCTACTTAAACTCTTGTGAAAATTGTGAAAAAAATAGTGTAAGCACACAAGATAAATTTGAAGATTGGATACACGTAGTAAAATCTGGAGGTAGTTTATGCACCTATAAATAGGTTTTAACTTCAAAATATCATCCTCTTTTGGGTTTCTAAGGCTCATTCCAAGGCTCAGTGAAGGAAGCATGTACTAGACATTTGCTTAAATAGAACTAGTATCAGATTAGAACAGCTGTCAGAAGAAAAACATCTGATTGACTGTGGTTTCACACTGATAGCTAGCTAGGCTCCACCACATGGCTCTCTCACTCCCCCTCCTCAAAGGAAGAGGAAGAGAAAATACAGTGGAAAGATAAAACTTAAAATAAGGACAGGAAGATCGCTCATGAATTACTGTCACTGGCAAAACATACTCAGCATAAGGGAGATTAATGCAATTTATTGCCTATTACTAACAGACTAGAGCAGTGAGAACTAAAAGCAAACTGAAAACATTTTCCTGCCCCTCCATCCATTCTCTTCTATGTCTTTCCCCTAAGTGGTCCAGAAGAATGGTGGCTGCAGTCAGTCCCTGATGCTTCGTCTCCTCCACTCCTTCATGGTCCCTCTCTGCCTGTGCTCCCCATGGGGTCCCCCTCCCATGGATGCTGTCCTTCCCCAGCTGAGCCTGTGGGGGCTGCCCACAGGCAGCAGCTCTTCAAGACCTGCTCCCACACAGCTCCGTCCCACGGGGTCCATCCATCCCCCAGGAGCAAACTGCTCCAGCACGGGTCCCCCACAGGTGGGGGCAGCTCCCCCCAGACCCCCTGCTCCTGCGGGGGCTCCTCTCCACGGGCTGCAGCTCTGGCCCGGGGCCTGCTCCTGCGGGGGCTCTCCATGGGCCGCAGCCTCCTCCAGGCCACATCCACCTGCTCCACCGGGGGCTCCTCCACCCATGGGGGGGCTGCAGCGTGGAGATCTGCTCCATGTGGGACCCATGGGCTGCAGGGGGACAGCCTGCTCCACCAGGGGCCTCTCCCTGCACAGCCCGCAGGGGAACTGCTGCTGCCTGCCTGCAGCACCTCCTGCCCTCCTGCTGCAATGGCCTGGGGGCTGCAGAGCTGGTTCTCAACCCTCTCTCCCAGCTTCTGTTATGCAGCAGTTGTTTTTCCTCCTTTCTTCAGCCTGATCACCGAGAGGCCCAACCAGTGTCTGGCCAGCAGCAGGTCCCTTTTGGAGCCAACTGGAGCTGACTCTGCTCTGACATGGGGTAGCTGCTGGGCTCTGCTCACAGAGGCCACCCTGGCAGCCCCTCTTGCACCAAAACCTTGCTATATAAGCCCAGACTGAAGACCAACACTAATTTTCCATAAAAAAAAAAAAAAGGAATAAGACAACAGAAATGCACCTTTTCCATATAGTTATGGAATAGTTGATACTGGGTGGCACATGGCACCTGTGGAGATTTTCTAGACCTCTCCTTCCACTAAAAGCAGGGTCACCTACAGCATAAAGCCAATGATTACAACCAGTCAGGTTTTGACTCGCTTCATAGCTTGAAGTTCCACAGCCTCTCGGTGAAACTTTTGCCACTTAGACACTTCTTTCAGATTAAAAAAAGCTATGTTCACAAGTATAAGTGGAATTTCCTAAATTTGCATTTGTGCCCATTGTCTAATTCTTCTATTGGATATCACTAATAAAAGCCTGGTCCCCTCTTCTTTACCCCACCCTACATCAGGGTTATATACACATTAAGAGAAGGCTTCAGGGAGGGATCTTATTCAGTCCTTGCTCTCAGCCTTCCCAGTATAACAGATGCTTCAATCCCATAATCAGTCGTCTTTGTGGACCGTCACTGGACTCACTCACCAGTGATGACTATAGAGTAAAAATCGGCTTTTTCAGCCTGATAGCAGCTCTTAATGCAGCTAATACTTTGCCACAAGGACACGTTGCTAGCTCTTGGCCACATTGATATCCACCTGGACTACCAAGTCCTTCTCTGAAAACTTGCTTGGAACCCAGTTACCCACTGCATGTATCTGGCACGTAGTTAATCCTCCTCAGAAGACCACCAGGCATTTCCCTTTCTTGATCATGAGATATTTCTTCAGCCTGCTGGGCCCTTCAGAGTGACAGTACAACCTCCTGCTACATTAATTGCTCTTCCACATCATATGCAAACTTGCTTAGGGCATATGCTGTCCCAAACAGGGACATGCTGTCCCAGGTCATTAATGAAGTGTTAATAACCACTACCAGCAGTGTTCCAATTCCCTGCCCTCCCACCGCAGTGTACTGCCTAGTGACTGATCCACAGGTAGACTTCATGCCACTGATCACAATCCTTTGAGCCAAGCAATTTAGCCGGTTTCAGATCTATTCTACTGTAAACTTATTAGCCTGTACCTTGTCAATTTACTTAATGATGTGATGGGATACACTGTTGTTCAATATGAACAACGTTCACTGCTGTCCCCTCATGTACTGTGCCAATCATTTCCACACAGTGTAAGAGGAAGTTGTTCATTATTTAAAAATGAAATATACAATAGAATAAACACATTAAGCAAAACAGACAGTATTTCCAACAAAGAATGGTAAGTTAACTATAGTTAATTGCATTTTCAAAGCAACTTTTTCTAAATTCAAAGGAAGCTTTGGCATATACACTGGTGCCTACATTTAGAAGAGGAATCCAAGGAATAATAGTGATCACAATGAGATTTATACATATAGAATCATACATACAGAATCATTACAACCTATGCAGAGTAAGTTTAATCTCATTAAATTAGTTAAATACCTGATGATCACTGACAATGACCACCGACACCTTGGTCATATTTCCTTAGCTAGTTTGAATGCTATTTCAGCATTCATCTTGGAGAATTGCTCTAGACAGTCACTTCACTCAAAATGAGCAGTGAGTGAAACACGGTCACACAAGACACCTGTGACTTCTACAAAGAGTTCTCAAACTTTAACATAAAGCTTTTAAACATATACAAAAAAGTCACTTCATAGCTACATCAATGACTAAAAATCATAATCTGCTAACAGTAGTTTGGCTAGATGAAAAAGTCTTCCATTAAACAAAAAATTTACACACTGAAGGAAGAACAATAAACCTTGTAGAAAGGCTGCAATTCTATTATCAATTCCAATATCAAAAATCAACAATTTGAAGACTGAAATCCTTGCACATAGATTTCTTAAGACTGAAAATTATTGCCAGTTTTGAAAGTCATGCTACATTAAAGAATACAGTCACAAATATGGATCTGTTTTTCCATGATTTGTAAATGCACAGGTTGCTAAGCAATTACTGCTTCAGAGGCAGCACTCAATACTAGCAAGTCACCACCGACACTTATACAGGAGAGTACTGTGCAGTGTGCATTATCCTCTACACCTTCCTACAGCTTCGTAAGGGTCCGTACCTTAGCCTCACTGCTGAGTGAGGACTGTGTTATGTAGTAGGCAGAACCCCAAACTCCCCTCTCTCTCAGCTCAGAAAGAATATCCCTCCTCACCCAACCAAGAAACCCAGCTCTAGTCTCAGAAGAATGCAAGTCATTAGAGATAACCTTGTTAGCAAGATAAATCACATATTTTCATCTTTTACTTCACAGAATGGTTTGGGTTTGAAGGGACCTTTAAAGATCCCAGTTCTGACCTACCATGGGAAGGGACACCTCCATCCACACTAGGTTGCTCAAGGCCCCATCCAGTCTGGCCTTGAACACCTCCAGGGATGGGGCATCCACAGCTTCTTGGGCAATCTGTCCCAGTATTTACCACCTTCTGAGTAAAGAATGTCTTTCTTATATCTAATCTAAGCCAACCCTCAGTTAGTTTAAAGCCATTCCCCCTTGTCCTATCACTCCACTCCCTGACAAGGAGTCCCTCCTCAGCTTTCCTGTAGGCCCTCTTCCAGGTATGGAAGCTATGATGTTTCCCTGGAGCCTTCTCTTCTCCAGGCTGAACCACCTCAACTCCCTTAGCCTGTCTTCACAGTAGAGGTGCTCCAGCCCTCTGATTATCTTCGTGGCACTCCTCCTGAGCTCACTCCAATGAGTCCATGTCCTTGTTTTGCTGGGGCCTCAAAGCTAACACAGTACTCTAGGTATGGTCTCTCAAGAGCAGAGGAAGGGGACAATCACCTGGGGCCCCTACTGGCCAGTTCTTTTGATGCAGCCCAGAAAGCCATCTGTACCCTGGGCTGCAAGCAGACATTGCTAGCTCATTCATGTTCCATTTTTCTACCAACCAACACCCCCAAGCCCTTCTCAGGGCTGCTCTCACCCCATTTTCTATCCAGCCTGTATTTGTGCTTGGGATTGCTAGGACCCAATGCAGGACCTTGCACTTGGCCTTGTTGAACCTCATGAGGTTCTCGCAGGTCCACCTCTCACATCTGTCCAGGTCCCTATGAATGACATCCACATCCCTTTCCTCCAGTGTGTTGACCACACCACACCGCTTGGTGTCATTGGCGAACCTGCTGAAGATGCCCTCCATCCCCCGTCCACATCAGTAACAAAGATAATACCAGTTCCACCACAGACCCCCGAGGAACACTATTTGTCATTGGTCTCCACTTGAATATCAAACTGTTGAGCAGAACTCAGTGTGACCATCCAGCCAATTCTTTATCCAGAGTGTTCCATCCACCAAATGCACCTCTCCCCCACGTGGAGACAAGGATGTTGTGTAAGACAGTGCCAAGTTCTTTGCACAAGTCCAGGTAGATGACATCAGTTGCTCTTCCCCTATCCACCAATGCTGTAATCCTGTCACAGAAGGTCAACAAGTTTATTAGACATGATTTGCCATTGCTGACATGAAGCCATGCTGGCTGTCCAGCAACCTCTGTTCTAAGCGTGCCTTAACAGTTTCCAGGAGGATCTACTCCATGACCTTGCCTGGCACAGAGGTGAGACTGACAGGCCTGTAGTTCCCCCAAGTCTTCTTATTTTCCCCCTTTTAAAGTGAGTTATGATTTTGCCTTTTCCAATCCCTGAGAACAACACCAGACTGCCATGACTTCTCAAATATGATAGACAGTGGCTTGGCCACTACATCCACCAGTTCCATCAGATGCATCTCATCGGGTCCCATTCACTTGTGCACCTTTAAGTTCCTAATCTGGTCTTGAACCTGAACTTCTCCTACAGTGGGCAGTTCTTCATTCGCCCAGTCCCTGCCTTTGGATTCTGTGACTTGGGTAGTGTGGCTAGATAACCTGGAAGTGAAGATTGAGGCAAAGAAGTCATTCAGTACCTCAGCATTCTCCATATCCCAGGTAACCAAGTCCCAGGTAACCCAGTCTCCTGTTTCCTTCTTGAGGGTGCCCACATTCCCACTAGTCTTCCTTTCCTGACATACCTATAGATTTTCGTGTTACCTTTGACAGCCCTGGCCATATTTAATATCACTGCTTCATCTTTCCTAACCTGATCTCTGGCTGCTTAGATAATACCGCTGTACTCCTCCCAGACTCTGTCCTTGCTTCCACCCTGTATAAGCTTTCTTTTTGTGTTTGAGTTTGGCCAGGAGCTCCTTCTTCATCCATACAGGCTTCCTATCATTTTTACCAGACCACAGCCCAGCAATTATATGCACGCCTCCAGTTCACCTTATTTACTCCCCGTACTATGTGCATTTCGTAGAATCATCAAATCGCTTGGTTTAGAAGGGACCTCAAAGATCACCAAGTTTCAACTCCCCTGCCATAGGCAGGGACACCACCCACTAGATCAGGTTGCCCAGGACCTCATCTAACCTGGCCTTGCACACCTACAGGGATTGGGAATCCACAACCTTTCCAGGCAACCTGTTCCCGTGCCTCACCACTCTCTGAGGGAAGAATTTCCTCTTAACCTCTAATCTAAATCTCCCCTCTTTTAGTTGCAAAGAAGTCACTCTGGAACCCTTACTTCTGTAGACTGAACAGCCCCAGCTCTCTCAGCCTTTATTTGTAGGAGAGGTTCTCCAGCCCTCTGATCATCTTTGTGGCCCTACCCTGGACCCACACTAACAGATCAACCTCCTTCTTGTGCTGGGGGCTCCAGAACATACATTTGCATAGAGGCATTTAAGTTGGGCCCCTTATTTGGTTTCTTACTGCTAGTTCCAAGCAGTTTTGAGTGCAAAAAGGAGAGTTAGGCTCCACGACAGGAAGCTGAATTGTCTTCTTGACCTCCCTCTATTGGCTAAATAAGGAGCCTAAACAAAACAAAGTAGGCTGGAAAGAATTTTTAAGGATATTACCAAGAATATCTATTGTCTAATATGAAAGTCAAACTATATTCAATTTGAAGCAAGATTGTCAACTAGATACTAACAAAGTATTAAAACGCAAACCACTTTAACAATAACTGACAAGTCTCTGTACTTACTGAAAGAGTGGTATATAACCTTAGCAGTTAGTCAACGCAATTATTCTGAATTTTTTCAACACCAAAGTTTATTAAATGCAATGTTATTCCCTGATTACTATAAAAGCTCAGAAAAATGGCATGCTACAAAGTATGTTTCCTTTTTAACTCAGAATTTGTTCTTTCCTGAAACACAAACAAAATGTAATCAAATATTTTCGTATTTACTGTGTCTCATTGGGCTACAGGGTAGGTGAATCTGCTATGTCAAGCCTTAAAAAGTTGTAGTTAAAAATTACACTGTTCTTTCTTTAAAGCACTAGAGTGAGTTAATGTCTAAATTGAAGCATTGAAGGATGCTAATTTCCCTCACGTATCACATTGCTAGGGTTAAAAACAGTCCTTATAGCCCTAATTTTTAATCTAAATTCCATCATTTAATCAATATTTATCTGTTAGGTGTGGCAGTGTTAAGCAATGACTAAAGGCCTTTAAAAATTGGTTTAAGAGTCTTTATAATGTAATCAAAAATAGAAGAATAAACAGTTTTGGGATATGAAATCACTTTAAATAGTAAACTGTTTTATATGTTGAATGGACAGGTTCTAGCGAAATAAACTGTGATGCTATTTTGATTATGGCAAATTAATCTCAGGGTGTTAATTCAAAAGAATATATTTTTTGTTAAAACCAAGACCACTTACCTAACACACAAACAAAAATATCAAAAAAATTAAATGTGAGAAGTGGTTCTTTCATCTGGCCAAAGTAGTCCACTATAGTCTTGAAGACATCTCTTTCAAATCCTGAATATGTAGGCTGCTTCAAATCTGAGCAGCTTGGCCCTAAAAAAAAGAAAGACAGTTAATTTGCAGCTACCAACCAGGTCAGTAGTTTCTATTCCAGACCATATAAATGCAAATCCTAGCAGAAAAACAAAAGCTTAAACAAGCTATTCAAGAAAACTTTTTCCTTATATTTCCAATAGATCTAGTGAAAGTACACATAAAAGAAATATGAGTAGATATGAAATAATATAAATAGAATCTTTACACATTTCACAGAAATAAACTGCATTGTCAGTAGAAAATATGCTCAATATTCTTTTCCAACTTCGCTTTCAAGGCCAGGATCAGAGCAAATACTGACTGTGAATATAAATTATATATGATAAAGTGGTAAAGGAACAGTCAGTCAGTTCAGTTGATTTTTTTAATGGGCTTTTAATATTTTTCCATTTTACTTGTAATTTTCCCATTTACTTACAATTTGCTAGGCATTTCATTGCTGACAATATCCAGTGAGGTAGGTCCTCTGCATAGGTGGAAAGACACAGAGAAATAAAAAGGTTAAAAAATCTGAGACACTTGTTAAACAAACTCTAAGATAATAGTGAAACTGAAAATTCATTGTGTTACTCCTATACGTAGATTGATTGCAAAAGTATATTATTCCGGAATATATAAATATGTCCATCATATAGTTTGAACTGGATCTGTACTATAGCACTTTCAGTTCTCAGTATCAGTTACACTACTGCTTGTACAGCTCAATCAGCAAAACCAACCACATATTAACTCCTTACTGTGCCTTGTAAAAAGTTAGACAAACGCCTTCAAACTACATCTTCACTACTGCATTACAATAAGTTGCTTATTTAGCACTGCAGATGGTGAATAGCACTTACACATTCAGTTCTGTCATTTCTGACAAGGGGAAGATAGAGGATAATATCTTGAAGTGCTTCAATTGTTTGGAAAATGGACATGTATATGCTCTAGAGTTGTTTATTTCCACAAACCAAGTCAGGTTCCTACCTGATACTTCACTTCTCTCAAGATCTCATGGAAAACAAGGTGGTAATATTTTCAGTAACCTATCACAAAAGAAGTGCTTTCATCTCTCCCTGATGAGCAAAGTAGTTTTAAACTTGGTGCTAGTTTCAAAACACGTTGAATGAAAGCTCAAAAATGAAAAGGTCTAAACTCCTCTGTGTGTATTTTGATGCTTTCTCAGTTTTTACTAAACATTGCCTTTATGTAGACACTCCAATTCAGGTTAGACTTCATACACTCCATACAAGGTCAGAGTTCTTCAGCCTAGTTTGACAAAGTTGGCTTCAGATGAAAAATATCCTTACTCTTGTAAGTGAAAACTTGCTGCTCTTTCATTCTTTCAATGCTGATGTGGTGGTTTCACACAGGTAAGTAGTTAAGCTCACCACATGACGCTCTCACTTCCCCCTCCTCAAAAGGAGAGGAGGAAAATATACAATAGAAAAGGGATCAAGGGTTGAAATAAGGACAAAGGAGATTGCTCATGGATTACCATCACAGGCAAAACAGCCTCAGATTAAGGGAGATTAATGTAATTTATTGCCTATTGCTAATAACAGACTAGAGCAGTGAAAAATGAAAAACACTTTTCCCCCCATCCACCCTTTTGTACCTCCTTTCCCCCCCACACACACAGCGGGACAGGGGAACAGGGGCAACAGACCATCGTGCTTTGTCTCTGCCACTCCTTGCCCCGACTCTCCTTCTGCTTTACCATGGGGTCTCTCACAAGGCATGCTGTCCTACTGAAACTGATCCTACATGTATGTGGGCTTCCCACAAGCAGCAGCTCTTAAAGAACTGTTTCAGTATGGGTCCATCTTTCAGTAATGAACCACTACAGCATGGGTCCCCCATAGACTGCCACTCCCACTAGACCTCATGCTCCACCAAGGGCACCTCCATGGGCTGCAGTGTGGAAATATCTTCCACTGTGGTACACCACAGTGGGCAGGAGGACAGCCTGCTCCACCATGGGCCTCTCCACTACAGGATGCCAGAAAAATTCTGCTATAGCACCTGGAACACATACACCTCCTCCTTGGTGTCTGTGGGGTTGTTTCTCTGGTTCTTACTCCACTCTCCAAGTGGTGGTAGCACAGCAGGTGTTTTTTTCTCTCCTTTTCCTAAATCTGTTCTCCCAGATGCCCAACCAGTGTCACTGACTGGATCAGCTCTGGCCAGCAACAGGAACCTTTTGGAGCCAACTCTTGGCTAACATGGGGCAGCTGCTGGGCTTTGCTCTCACTGGCCACCCTGGTAGCTCCTCTGCTACCAATGCATTGCCACATAAATCTAATACAACTACTAAAGCAGGGATATGTTCAAGAGTAAATATGGAAGAATAAACACTGATCCTTATTATTTGGACAATAGCATAGTCAGTAAAAACTGACTATGTAACTCAGTAAAAAGTATGTTTGTATAACCACTTCTAAAGATGCTACATGTTAGTATAGATTAGAATTAATGTTGTTTCTTTCCTTAAACCAATAAACTACAATATAAAAGAGTGAAAGTTTCTAAAATACTCACTTGACTTGTCTTCTAAAATGACAATGCCTTGCTTATTGACATTGTATGCATTTTGGACAATATGCTTTGAATTGACAAGCTTTGTGTCCAGCACTTCATCCAGTGAATTCAAACCCAAGACCTTTTGTAGTCTGCAAAAATACATAAACACATAGTATGTACGTCTGATCTGAAAGAGGTAAACATAGTATTACAATATATGTACATCTGATCTGAAAGAGGTAAACATAGTATTACAATATATAGTTTTGAAAGGGTATTCTTTCCATTGTCTTGATCACGAACATGTAGAGGATATAGAATTTAGACATCTATTCTCCAATCACTTAAATTTCTATGCTACTGCACCAGATCAGGTTTGTTACAGAGATGGTGTGCCAGGCCTCGATAAAAAGAACACATTAGTAAAGACTCAACTGCAGTGTACAAATAATTAATGTATATTTTTGCAGGAGGAAAAATAATATTCTAAAGTAAAGCCCTCAATTTTGCATAAGATATTCATTCTGAAATGTTTAACAAATATTTGAAAGCTTTCTGTACTCAGATGCTATGTTTCTTATATTGAGTATTATATTTGTCATTAAATGGTGTCATGGTATCATACCTATACAAGAGTGTTTCAGTTGCACGAAAAAAAAAAGATTAGCAAAAATGTGATTAAACAAAACAAGCCCACACAATAAAAGGACTTATATACTACAACAGGAAAGAAAAATTCAGGAAGTATTAAACAGTTTCCTTATGGAAGTTATCTGCTGAATTTGATAGACAAATAACAGGTGGTATAGTTAGTCTAGCCACTATGACTTTAATGACATTAATGAAACGTCAATGGATGAAACTATAAGTACCGCTAGAGAAGGCAAACAATATACTATACTATACAGTCGCATCCTGTACATCGCATGCTATACAGTCTTACTCTATCAGCAAATGACTAACAAGTATGCTCACCTTGACAAAGTCATAGACTTCCATATCTCTTCTATATGTGCTTGTGTTAACTCCCTACGGAGAACAAGTTTGCATGCTGGTACTTCCCCTATAGCTATACTGTGACGCTTGTACCACATTTCAGAGTTCTAAAATCAGAAGAAAAAAACACTTCTCATTAGCTGATGATTTTTCAAATATTAAACAGTATAACATTCGTGGTAGAGCATGTTTCCTATTGCAAGTGATCTAGTTATTCTTAAGTTCTAGCAAAATCTCCAGAATGCAAGTATTTAGGTTTCACTGATGTTCAACATATTTTCTCTTTTATATAAGATCTCCAAAGCGGAAAAATCACATCACTGACCATTAAAACTCAGGAGTCAATAGTGCCTAGTCCTCTCTTCAGAACCTGGCCCTGATTAAAACCAGTTCAAGTCACTTGTTTTTAACCACCATTCCACCATTATAACAGGAAAGTAAAAACAAGAATGAAAGCCTGTGCAACTCTTTACTCAGCATTCAGATCCCAGCCTGAAGCTTGAAGATTGACATCCATGCCTCATTGTGTACACACACAATACAAATTGTGTCAGCAACATACCTTAAAGCAGAGCTCTGGATCATTCCTGGTTAATGTGCTTTGACTTGCATCACAACCATCCTAGATCACATTAACAGTATTCCTTGTGATTACAACTAAGCCACAAAATGCACTCCAGGAACACGCCTAATTACTCCAACCACTAGTCGTGTCATGAAGTGACAGACAAGAGCTAGTTTGAAATAACACCCTCTGAAATTGATATCTGGATTTCCATATCAGAATTTCACTACCAAGGTCTATGTCTATCGATTCACATGTAGACAATAAGTGCTCTGATTGATGCTGCAGCAATTTATGATTTGCTTAAACCACGTCCAATTACCTGGCCACTTCACCCTTCTACTGGAAACTACACCTTTTTTATAAGGCAGCCAGCAGAAGCAACCTTATTCCTCTGCCACAGTTTCTTCAAGTTATAGTCCTGTGTATTAACCAAATCTGCCAATGAATATGCTCTTTTGAGCTATGCCAGATTTCATGCTGTCATATCCGAAACAGGTGTAGATAGGCATACCTTTGCTAACTCTTATCAGGGCAATAATCCTTTTCAGGGAACAGACGTTTATTCAGGACCTCTAGATGTCCAGGAGAATAGTAGGAACTACTTTTCCAAACAGATCTCCAAGAAATCCAAAGCTAAAGCCCTGCACTGAATAGCATTAATAAAAAGGCCAAGGTTATAAAAGAAATCCCAGCAGTTTACAAAAAGGATGTGAACACTGCTTTAAACTGGAAGTTTAAAGCAAAGGTAACGCTGGAGGCCTATACTTTTAGGATGTCAAATTAGTAAGAAGTTATACAATTTTATTTTACTCATAAAAGCAAATTTTTTTCAATAACTTTGCAAAAGCTGCAAAATTTGGTTTGGATCAAACCAAATAAACACAGAGTACAATGATTCTCCAATTTCAAAAAACGCTGACAACAAAACTGTATTTCTTTTTTAAAAAAAAAAGAAATTGAAGTTGTTGAATTACCAACAACTTTACAGTAGCTAGAAAGGGAGTAATACTGTATATATTCTGCTACATGAAGAATTTGAATAGGAGTTACATTGTAGATGATGTTAAAGGAACTATTTTGTTAACAGATGCTTAGATGTGTTACTGGAATTAGAGCAAACTGAGAGGTAAACATATTGGTAAATGCAACAGTGCTGAATTGAGGATGCCAAGGATATTACAGTCTGTAGCAGAAAGAAAACTTAAAACCAACATCCTGAGCAAATAATTAAGAACAACTTCATTTCACATACATTTAAAATAAAAGTATTTTACATTTAAATCTATAACCAAATATTCTGTGCCACAATGAAGAAATCATTGGTTGAAATTGCTTTCCAAACATGCATATGACTGGGGAAATGAAAACTGAATATCTTACCATTGTGACAGATTTCACCGGGATGTGTTCTTGGGAAACGCCAACCTTCGTTTCATTCCAATCTGGAAATTTGATGACTTCCTTTCCATATGAAGGTTTCTTTGGGTATGGCTTCAGAGGTGAGGAAGGAGGAAATCTGTAATTAGAGAACACTTTTAAAGCTTCTGAACTCCACACTATTCAGTATTTATCAATGTAAAACCATGTACTAGACCTTCACATGTGTAAACACAGCAAAAGCCTTAGAGATGCACAATGCAACTTACTTGCCTCAAGACAGGTGTTGAATAAAAGTTCAGACACCTTAAGATATCTCATTTAGCCTCCCTGTGTTGCTCCAGAGTAGTTCAAGTCCTTTGTACAGCCCATGACATATCTGAAAGACTTGGGTGGACATTTGATCTCCCAGCATGTCTTAAGTAGCACCAGCTGCTTATACTTCAACAACTGACCCTGGTTTTACCTAAAAGGTGCTGATTCTGCTGAAAAAGCAGTAGATAGATTTCCCTCACATGATGTACACTGCTAGCATGTATGTCCTAAAGCACATAAGCAAGGCCCAGGCAGGATGGCACTTTCTGCAACCTGGTCTAGTGGGAGGTGTCTCTGCCCATGGCAGAGGGGTTGAAATTAAATGGTCTTTACAGTCCCTTCCAACCCAAACCATTCTGTGATGACTAAGTCATCTGATTAACACTTGGATTTAATTAGAATGCATGCAAGTGTCTATACAAAGTTTTGTCCACATTACCATGTTCTTCTATGTCTACATGCTTTCTATGCAAAGACCATATGCAGCAGTTCTGGAGTATTTTTCCAGCTGTTTGTGCAGGAAGATCATTTGCCATTAAAGGCAATTCAAGAAGTAACTTGAAATTGGCAGAAAAAAAAATAAGCTAGCTCTTGCAGATATTGGAAAATAAACAACTCCAAATCACATTAAACTCAGCCACCATCTTCAACTTGACCAGAATTAAATTACCTCCAAAACTAGGCCAGAGCACATACAAAGGAATAAATGGCAACACATCAGAAAGAAAAATCTGTTTCATAACATTCTTTATAAGCAGATCTCATTTACCTGCACTTCTATGTTTTAGAACCTGAGTTTCCTCACGCTTCAAGAAATTGCTTCTGCCTCCCTCATTCCCTTGATCAGAATGTAAAGGATGCTTATGACAACAAGAGCCTGTATACCACTGCATAGCGTACATTCATATCCTAACAGAAAGCTTCCCATGCTCAAAATCTCTCTAAAATTTAACCCCAGTTCTCTCAAGGCAGTTCCAACATTCTATTAGTTTTCAAATTAGATTTGTCTTGTAGTTTTATTAGTCCAGTAGCAATATACTGCATGGGTTAAACTCCTTATGGTTTTAACTACACAACACTGAGCCCATTTGCTATGTTCAACAAAGCTCTTCAAGAAAATCTCTGTATCACAGGGAGGTATCACTTATGAAAAACCCAGAGGCAGGGTAGGAAGCATCTTTCCTGGAAATTTACTTTGTCTTTTAAAAGTACATTACAGAAGATGTTCAGTTGTGTTAATTTTTTTTTTTTAAACAGTTATTTGTTAGAGTTTAAGGCTATAACATCTGTTGTCTTTTTCCTTTGCTTTACAGTATTCTCAGTAGTTTCCTCTTTTCCTTCAAGTTCATTGTAACTTCTAGCTTTATCACTTGCTACCCCACTTCCTCAAAGAATCATCAGTAAAGGAATGAGTTCTTACAACCAGAAAAGTATGTGCATTCCTCTTTTTCAGGTATGACAGCAAGGTGCAGATAGAGCAAAGCTTTTGGACGCCCAGTGAAAAGCCTCTGGTTTTATGTTTAATAAAATAACATTAGCTAAGAGCTAATACCTGGGGAGCATGCCGAGATTGACATGTTTTTCATCCAGCAATACTAGTCTTATAAGTCTAGAGAAGGAAGAAATAAAGCTACTTGTTTGTGTCTAGAGTAAAGGCAATGTCAACTAACCTTGAATTGATGGCGTAACATGCCACAGATGAATTCCCAGAGGTTTACTAGTAGTGCACATGTACTGACCCGTTTGATTTTAATACAATTGCTCTGATTCCAAGAAATGTAAAGCCTGAAAGCTTCCAAAACTGTAGCGTATCATTGTTATAGACTATACTGAGCCAGTAGGTCAGACTCACAGACAGCCTTCACTTATTTTAGAAGCCATAATAATTTTCCCACTTGCATTTAATAGTTTTCTAACATTCTCAGCCAAACATTTGGCAACATCTGTTTTATGTGTTTTTTTTTTTTTAATGGAGTGAATAACAAAGGACAACCACAGTTGCACAAGAAATTAAGGAAAGATTCAACTACCTTGTTTCCAATGACACATCTCTGCAGAGTACAATTGCAGCTACAGTCAATTAGCATAGAAATATAAAGAAAAGATGTTGAGTACATCAAGCTTTAAAGAGTAAGGATTACACCGACAGAACTGAAAGCTCCTTGCATTGCTACTGAGAACATGGTGAGACACGCATTTAAAAAATTAACATTGGGGATGTCCACCAGAGGGAGCTGCCAGGACATTCAATAGGTGAGTAAAAGCGTTCTGGAAGAATGATGTTTAGTTCCAAAAACAGGAAAAAAAGCATGTTTTAATACTTAAACACAGAAAGATCAAAAATATGATTAGCTTACATATTTTATTTATGCATCATGAGTGGTGGGAAAAAAAAGCTGGCTTCTATTCAAAATGCATGAAAGGTATACAAATTTATTTTTAAAATATCTTACTATTCAGTTCGTCACTTAGTTGCCTTTTGAAAGGGAAGTGGAGAAAAAAGTTAAGGTAGTTATCACCAAAGAGCTCTCTTGTCTAATAGCAGAATGTTAGGCAGAACATAGAATGAAAGGCGTAGAGATAATTCACCCAACTCCTACAGTGACCTCATAGAAGTCATGGCTGAAAATACAAAGAAGAAATAAACAAAATTTGAATAAGTCATGATTATATCACAAAAAAAACAAAAACAAAAACACCACCATCCATTACACAGGATGTAGATATATAGCAAAATACAGTTGTATATATAAATACAATTAAATTCAGAAAAAAAATGAATTTTATCTTTTGACAAAAGGGAGTCAAAGTCTGTGAAGAAAGGAAACAATATTCAACATGTATGGCATCGTTTAAAAAAAAAAAAAAAAGATAAAACAACAGACACAACACCTCTGTGCAGATAAAGATGCCCTAAAAAGAGCAGAGAGCAGGACTGGGCTAGGAAATACACGGAACCAGTAACAGATCTATCAGAATGAGCTCAACCAATGACTAATCATTTTAATAATATTTCAGAACACACACTGCTTTTCTGTCCTTCAAAGACTGGGGGATGGGAGAAAGAAAAGGAAGTGATGGTCAGTGAAAACCCTGAGTCTGTGTTTGCAGGACACCTTAATATTCAAAATGTCAGACTGCCACCTTTTCAATTTTGAATGAAGAGCTAGTAATGTACAACACAAGTACGAGAATGTTCTGTTTGTGTCACATTTATCAGTTTACAGAATCAGACACAGAACACTGGTAGAAAGAATAAAATACTTCACACCAGAACATAAGCTATCAGTGGATGAAACCTATGCTGTGGTAAAAAGATCAAAGGAAGCCACCAGGTCTACAAAAGCTATTTTTGCATCCCCCACGTGGTACAACCCTTAGGTTCACAATCTCTAAACTTTCTCCTCACAACTTACTTGTCCCTGATTTACTCAGGGCAGCAAAAACAAGTAGAAACAGAACCCTCAAAAGTTTCAAAAAAAAAAATGGAAGGTACATTGTACTGCATTAGAAGTTTTTTTCCCTGCACAGCTTTCATAAAGACCTAATCTTGGAAGCAGGCATGCAAGAATACTAGCATAAACAGACTAAATAAGTAGTTCTTTTATTTCTTTATCTGCAAGCAGACTTATATCTGAATGTTTTAAGTTTTATTTGTACACTGCTTTACCTGAGCTTCTTCCAATTTGAGGACAGTTTGAATGTTGGTGGCTAATCAACAGTCCTCACCTGGAGGATAAAATCCATAAGGAATATGGATCCTACAGAGAATGGACTGGAGGACATTGAAAGGATTAGAGTGCATCTTCACAGATTCTGTCATTACTTGGGAGCAAGTATTAGAAGTAACAGAAGACTGACAAGTCCAGTGAAGCAAAGCTTGTGAAAGCTCTCTAAGAAAATAAAAGCTAAAGCTAGAATTCGTAAGATCTAAGATAAGCTTGGAATCAGTCTATTGCCCAGTACTAACATGAAACACCAGAGGACATCAATTATTATTCATTTGTCCTACTGTTTCCACATCAAATGTTGCTTTAAATGAAAGCATTCCATTCTTCTTCTAAAGGATTGTTTGTGCAACCAGTAAGAATTGTTTGTACAAACAACCAAAGGATTGTTTGTATAAGCAATAAAGGTTGTTTGTACAAGCAGCAACCTGTGCCCTCCCCTTACTCTCCCCCTCTTCTTCCTCAGTACTACTGCTCAAATACACACCTGAAGTTATCCATACAACCAAGTTTGCAGTCTTTCTATTTCATTTCATGAACATAACCCCTAGAACCACCAAACCAGTACAATGAGAAATGTGATATCAATCTCTATCTCTGTCCTCTGTCCCTCTGAGGATTTTTATGTTACTATCCTCTGCTCATCTTCCCAGCAGAAGGTGATCTGTAGCTTAAGAGGCAGCTGCTTTTCCATTTCTGTTTAAACCAGCAAGATGCCCACATCACACCCTCACATTTAACCTTAGATCTTAACTTCAAGCTGGAGTCAGAATCCCTACAGCTTGTTCTCTATGCCTGTCTTCCAACCTCAACCAGTCAATGATTACCTGAACTATCCCCTCCTACGGGAGCCATAAACAGATGGCAAGAGGAGAGTTTAAGAGGACAACACACAATACTTAACAGAGTCCCCACCCAGCCTGCAGTCATTCTCAGCTCATAAACTTCATGAGCAGCATATCATTTGTAAATGGAAAATATTTTGACAAGTTCATCCAAGAAAGTCTCTTCCTAAGTATCTACATGGTCCTTAGAAGTTGAGTGTCAAATTTCAGAATTTAACATTTCCCTTTACTATTGATTACATTGAATTCCCCTTTATGGAGCTAAATGAATGATGTCACAGTACAGGTGCACAGCAAAGCAAAAAAGCTCCGGCATCATTTTGCAAACAGATTAGTTAAAATCGCAAATCAAAACAAAAATCTGTGTTTACATGAAATGAAAGACTTGCTTTTCCATGTATTAGGTTAAAAGAAGTAGGTATAAAAAATCATTACAAACTATTAATACAAAAAAATCTGTAAGAATAGGACTAGCAAGTAGAAGTGTACCATTATTGTTTACCTATTTTCCTTACAGATCTGCATGAAGAGAGCTCCTGCTACCTCAAAAGAAGACTCATCACAATATAAGTGACACACCCATGCTTGGGCTAATGCTAATTTTAACACTACTGAACAGAACAACAACAGAAAGTACAAATTTGGAACCTGTAACTTCTTAACACCCAAGCCTTAACTGAAGTAGTAAGAGGTCAGAGAACAGCCTCCAACGCTGAGCTTTCATCACAAATAAAATTGTTTTTCTCTGTTGACAAACAACAAGTAAGAAGGTTAAACAATCTCCTTTAAACATGAGCAAATAACAATTTCTCAGTTTCAAAAAATATCTAAATGATACATTGATGACCCAAGGTATACAAAAAAAACAAACATTGTTATGAATAACTTTTAACTTCAGATGTCTCTCTCTTCTCTCAGAAGGAATAGAAACTTAGTACAAAGTAGCTATGGGTGGGGTTGGGTGCTCAGTGCCATCCTGACTTTCATCAGTACCTTTTTCACACAGAGTTTCAGTCACCAACAAACCTGATGTTTATCAGCAGCAAACACAAGTCACCACCTTCTAAAAGCTGCGAAAGCTTTTGCTAGTATTCATCACATGAAATCAAGTTAAAAGTCCCCTAAAAGTATTTTTTAAATAGAAATCAAACATTAAATCTGACCCTTGTCATCACTAGGGAGACAAATGCCTTTAAGAGGAAAGAAAGGAAATAAAACACTGATACCATTGCAACAGCATTTCTCAAAAAATATTTGCAAGACTAATAACGTAAGTTATTAATGTATTCATAAAACCTATGTTTTGCAGAGTCATCATCTATAGGCTTACCTGTACAAATGGCCATCATCTTGGAAGTCCTCTTTGCCCCATCTTCCTTTGATGTCTTCAATAACGTGGTTTTTCAGGAACTTTTTAAGCAGCTTAACCGTCTGACTGCGAGTCACTTCGGGGCCGAAGTTCTGGTTGGAGCCGAGCAGCTCGTGCAAGCAGTCCACGGCCTCCGAGGCTTTGAAGCAACGCTCGTAGCTTTTGAAGCGGCACCGGTGCTTCCGCAGGGGCATCGCGGCGCGGAAGAGCTCGATGATCTCGTTCCACTGCGAGAGGAGAACAAAGCAGCCCGTTAAGGGGGGTGCTGCACGGGAAACACTTGGGCTGCTGGAAGGAGCTGAGGTTGCAGGCGGGTGTGAATGGGGCAGCGCCTGCTTTTGGATCATCTGTGCTGGCAAGCGCTCCGAAACGCGAAGCTCTGCTTTAAATAGCCGAGATGTAGGAACATAAGAGGGGCAACAGGGGAACCCACAGCCCCGTGCTGCCCACAGCCGCACCTTTAAACCCCCCCTCCGCCATTTTCCCATTTTAGGGCTTTAAATCTCCTCCCGGGAGACCCCCACACACCCCTGGGCGGGGAGAGGGACCCCCCAGAGCCCGCAGCGGATCCCGGGGGGCGCCCACTCACCAGCCGCGTAGCGCGGTAGGGCCCGGGTCCCACCAGCCGCGCCGACATGCTGAGGCTGGGTGTGGGGGTGAGGGGTGAGGGGGGGTGCGGCCGGGCCGGGCAGCGCCGTCCCCTGGGGAGCCACCGGCCGCACGCGCCGCGCCCGCCGGCCGTTTGAATCCCGGCCTGCCGGCAGCCGCCTTTTCTCATTGGGCGGCCGCCGCCCCACGTGACACACGCACCGCCGCCTCGGATTGGTGGAGGCGGACACCGCCGTGCCCCGCCTGGGGAGGGGGCGGGGCTGGGCGTAACGGCTCCCTCCTCCCCCCCCCCTCCGCCCTCACCACACACACACACACACTGAGGTGGAGGGGGGAAATGGCGGTTGCGGGGCAGGGCGGCTCCTGGCAGCGCCCGTTAGCGGGGCGGCTCGGCTTCCCTCAGAGCGGGCATTAGCCGCTGGTTTTCCTTGCTGTGGCTGAGCAGCCAAGGGTTGAGGACAGGGGGACCAGGCGTTGGCTTGGCAACCGCGCAAACCGCGCTGTGTGATTAGCGCCTGGGTGATAACGTACCGCAGCGCTTTCACTAAGTCACAGAAAAAAAGTGGTAATTTCAGCGCTCGGTTTCTCAGGAGTAGCTGGTACGATGAGCGTTCCTCCTGCACCAAACCTAAGGAACACAGCATCCCAACACACTTCCCCTCGTTCTCCATGTTCACTGTACACTTCGTGGTTTAACTGAATGAGGCACTCCACTTCCCACTGTCACCCAGGTGTATAACACAATTTTTAAGTACAAAAAAAATGTAACTGCATGATTCTCACAAGCTACAACACAAACCTTTTGTGTTGAAGCCACTAAGGTAGCTACTATATGCAGCCTCTTGCCATACACCCATACAGCACACTGGAAGAACACATTTTCTTCCTTCAAATGCTTCATAACGCGCAGACTTATGTTTCTTTGTGCAAGAAACATAAGCAGGATTCCGAAGTGGTAGTTACTGACAGCCCGCAGACTGATCAGCATCTCCAGTTTCTGCTCCTGCTTATTAAAACATAATCTCAAATTGTGGAAGCAGTTGGCTGCTGCACAAGTGCTGGATTTGGAGGTTTTTCCTGGCTCCTTACAGGAGGCCTGAGCAGCTCAGTTTTGTCCATGTGTATTCTCAGACCCTACTTAAGCTTCAGTGAGTTTGAAGAAGTAGGTGCTGATCTAGGTCCTAGACCAACAAACTACTGTCTGGCCCCTCACAGCAGTAGGATGCATTCCTTTTAGAATGCAGCTGCATACTCAATTTCTCTTACTTTTGCTAAGACTTACAAGTGGTTCTGACCTCTGCATTTTCTATTGCTGCAGTGAGTGGAATAACTACAAAATGGTGGGCCAAAACTAGGACTTTCACACCAGCAATAGGTTTCCTGCAAGCCTACAGCGTAGTCTCTCTTCATCAGTACCTAGTTTTAAGGAAAAAAAAAAAAAAAAGCAAAAATAGGCACCACTCAGGCTTTAAAAAGAGACAAACCCTTTTCCACTGCTTGGGAAAAAAAACAAAACAACCAGTACTAGACCCCTATTGACAAGAAACGACCCCCCTCCTTTGGAAGTTAAGGGTGTGCACACAGGTTGGAGGATTGGAGTCAGTGATCAGATTTCCCACTGAAAATGGTTGTGGCCCCCAGTCAGCACCCTGGCTGTTCTGCATTCTGTGCTAAAGTACCTCTGTCACTCCCTCAGGGAGCTAAAACACAGAGCTGAGGATTCCATGATTAAGCACCTAAAACACGCAAAAGTCATGATAATCTGATTTCAATCAGCCATGAGAGTTGATGGCTGTGTGGATTAAATGGTGGAAAGATAAAATATAAATTATTTTTTATTTGTTTTATAAAGATGACTTGTATGTAATTTTGTAAGAATTATTTGCAACACATATCCATGATAAAGTTTAAATTCTTTTAGCATTAACAGTACACAATAAACGTTTCTATACCTATAAATTTATTGAGGTAACAACCTATTTTCTTGGAGTTTTACAACAGGGAAGCAATTGAAACCTGCACCAACATTTTGGATATTTGAAAATCCTGTAGATCAGGTCAAGCACAAAGCAAAAACAACAAGCTTCTTCTCTGTTAGTAGTGAACATAATAGAAAACAATACATTTAAAGGTAACATGTTAATTTAAACACCTCTACCTCCTGAGTTACAAGTCTGATGCATAAACTTAATAAGCTGCATTTGTATTGTATGAGTTTATGTGCAAATAGCTAGGCTCTTTAATTTCTCTGCGTGTGTGCCCTTAACAATGAGCCATGTTTCCAAAAAAAACACACTGATCAATCTGATACGGACTCCACACGTGCCCTACCACCTCTGCCAGCCCCAGTCTCAGGAGTTCAGAGAATGTCTTGTACATTTTTTTTTCCTCATTTGACAGAACAGAGGCAAGGTAACCAGTGCTACTTAACAGAGAAATCTTTACTTTAAACTTGAGTTGTTGAAAACAAATAATAATAATAATAATAAACAATAAGAAAAACCCAGAAAGTCTTTTGAGGCATGTATTTCAGTAGGTAATGGAAATGGAAGAAAACAGATCACAGTACAGTCATGGTAGCTAACATTTACACTTCAATCAAAGATGTTTCTTTAAAAGATATATAAGGACTAAGATTTTGACTGCTGAATTACATATTTATCCCCACGAAGCAGTCTATCCTACATATCTGAAAATATACTGATAGATTAAGATTACTATAACACTTTGGTGAACAAATCACTAGGCTGTTTTGATCATTATACTACAAGACAGTTTGGTTAACCCTCAAATTAGTAGGCTTCCTGCATTTAGGATAACTTTTAAATGAATACAAGTTTCCTACATAAATGAATTAAGTTATCTCAATCAAAGAGGGTAGGCATAAAAATTTATCTTCAAATTAAATGCCATACTTTGACAGATTAACATACATTCCTTTCTTTAAAGTAATATTGTTTTTAAATGCATAATGCTTATATGTATTAGTTATATTAATAAGCTTTATATTCAAATACAGTATTTATTGAAGATTCATTCTTTTAATAAATTGTAGCTGACATTCTCAACAACTTATAACAATTAAGGTCTTTTTTTTCCCCCTCAATGTTCAAAGTACTTTGTACTTGTCATACACACTAATTTTCTCAATAAGTATCTTTATTTTCCTGCATCTTCTAGATAGAGATCATCTATCCATTCATTTCTTGCAGGAAAGACATAAGCAAGTTGTTGAAAACACTTTTTTTTTTTTAATTCAGAGATACATGCTGTTCTACCCCACCCCCCAAATTCAGAAACCCAAATAACTTATGGTAAAAATACAAGTTCTGCTTTGGAAGAAAACATACAAAATATACACAGTGTAGTGTGTGCACCTAAATGTCTTGATTGTCAAGTAGCTCAAGTTTTCACTCTGATGTATACATTTTTTCTTCTTTCTTGTAGACAAGAGTTTGTTTCACTGATCTTTGCTGGTGCCATTTCTTGTCGTCTTTGGTAGTCGTTGTCCCTTTGTGTAAGCATGGTACCAGAAGTGCAGAAACAAGACTAAAAACATAGAACCATATAGCCAAATAATAAACATGAAAATCGGATACTGGTACGGACAATCATCCATGATGTAGATTTGCCCTATATGGACTGTAATCATAATGAACTGGACCTGCAAGAAAAAGGTAAGGAAAAATATTCATTTTAAAAGAAAGACAAACTTCCTACAGACATTTAAAAAGATTTAGCAGAACTTGCATTCATAAAAAGTTGGGGGCAGGGGCTTTCTCAGCTACAGATAGGGTCACCATTATTGACCCTCTCCCAAATTGTTACTGCATTGAAAAGCACTTCCACAGAGTAAAGAAAGACGTATTGTCCAAGGACAATACGAATTACAAGCAGCAATGAGGAACCTGTACTAGAAGAAAGGGAGTCTGCCAGTTCAGTAAAGAAATAAGTAATTTGACTCGTTTGACCAGTGACAAATGAGATATTGCTCTGAAAAAAAAAAAAAAGGCCAGAAAAAAATACACATCAGGATCTGTGAACATGATAGTATACAGGTCAGAGGTGAGGGGAAATTCATGTAACATAGAGGTCTGCAGGTCCCAAAAAAGCAATTTAAGGGAGGATTTAAAGAAATTCGACATGTACATTAAGTTAATAATCCACAGGTAATACCGCCAAGACAAAAAGCCTCTAAACTTATAAATATTCAAGCTAAGTCATTCCTAGTTACACAGGGTTACGTAAACAAAGACCAGACCTGGTGCAAGCAGTTACAGCCATGGCTGCTTCTCCCTGCTTCTTTTGCTCCTCTGTGAACACGCCAAACTGATTGTGTAGCCAGAAGATGCATTTTCTAAATTTCTATTAAAGAAGCTGGGTGTGAAAAAGCACCCATAGCAATAACCACTTCAGAGTGATCTAATGCTAATAAAACACTTAATGTAAATTCTCTACACATAATTTCTATGAAAGAAGGGACATGACATTAGGAAATACTTATTTTTCCATGCAGTCATTACTATTTACATGTAGACTCTGTACATTAGTTATGTTTTCTTGGTGTAAATTTATATTCTAATTATTTTTTTACAGCAGATGAGTTTTGCATATAGTATTCAGTGAATACATTTAACTGAAAAGCTTGTGTCTATGATTTAATGGTGAATGTTGAAGTCAGCAGATTTAAGTAAATAACTCAACTGGGGCTCATGACTTTTGTTTTAGTCATTTAAAACATGAGTAAAAACTGTACCAACTGTACTGACCGTACAGATCAACATTAAAGAATACAAATTTATTGCACTGTCTGCATTAGGCACAATCAGCTTTGGGAGATGTTCAAGTCAAAGAGAAAATTACTCACAAGTTGTATAGTTGTCATGTATTTTTTCCACCACAAGTATTTATGATAGGCTGGTCCCAGAGAACAGATGCCGTAGTAAGTGTACATGACAACGTGTACAATGCAGTTCAACAAAGCATGAAACGTCCCTAAACCACCTGTAGAAGGAATATAATAAAGTAGTATTATTGCATCAGGTTTATTTAGGTCATTTAAAAGCCACCTCAGGTCCTGGTAGTTTGTTTTGATTGAGGAAAACAAACAAAGACCACAACAAATATAGACTTAAATT